TTTGACTTCGCAGTTTTAATCTACACGCCGATGGTTTCTTTCCTCCATTCAAATTAAAACCTATTGATTTGGTTTTGTTGTTTCAAGGTTCATCTGCATCTTGCCAACATACTTGCTGCAGTAATCCAGCAATCTCAACTCATATTCAAACAGTATACAAAAATATAGTAGACCGACATAATATGATATACGAAAATAAAACTACATAAATTAAACTATAATATCAAATTATATACTTAAAATTATTTTTCTGTTTGAAAAAAATTGCTTTTCCTTAAAAGAATGTATATCATGCTGGAGTTGTCGTTTTGAGAATTAAAAGGAAATTTCGTACTCAATGGATATTTACGGAAATGGAAAAAGAATGAAATAAAATCTATTATGTTTTGCTGTTCATTTGGACTATTTGATTTTGGACCGACGGTAAGCCATTAAAAATCTCGATATGTCAAAACTAATTTGTGGGGGACTTTACTCCTGGCCACCAGAATTTGTATCATGTCTTGCATGTTGCCACAAAATCTTCTTCCATCAACTTATTGGTGAGGCGTGACATTATATGCTAATCGATGTGCTGCTTTTCGTATACGACAAATATACTAAACATAATATGTCTTAATTCGATTGTTTAAGTTAAAAATTTGATATAATCAAATTAAATTAAGATGGGATATTTTGTTAATTTCGATTTTTTATATAATTTTTTTAATATGAATATGAGGTTAAAGTTAGTAAGAAGGATCATAAATATATGTGTATAATATATTAAATAAATTATTTGAAGGCGTCTTAAAAATGAAGAATATTTTGCTCGATAAAAAATCGGCTTTAGATTTGTAGTCTATTGTCTCATAAGCTTCTTGTATGGTCAAATGAAAATCAATGAGTCAAGTCTAATAACAAAAGTTGACGATTGTCGCAACCGTCTTTCGGGTAGGTCTGGAATTAGGCTTCGACTTAAATAGAATACGTTAAAGTCACCACCGATCATTTTAAAAATACTTAGGTGGATCGGACATCATCTTACCTGATTTGCGTTTTACCAGAAATGTGTCGGTTTTGGGAGTCGGTTACAGTCAATGAATGATTAGCACCCTTGTACTCCCTTTCGGAACCAATTAATTTGTCGATTGTCTTAGTTGCGAAAATTAAAATTGAAATTGAAATTTTTAAAAAAAAATTCAATTCAAAATAATTAACTTTTATCTATTGAAATTATGCCTAAAAGGTCAAAAAGGTTAGATTGAAAAATAAATACTACATAAATCGAAGAGAGAAAAAAATAAATAAATTGAGAAAATAACAATAAAAAATGCTAAGAGGGAAAAAATAAAAATGAAGAAAAATGTTCAGTCTAAAAAAATAAAAGAGTGTAAAAAACAAAATATATACATAAAAAACAATTAAAAGAAATAAACAATATTAAAATTAAAAGAAAATATATATATATATATATATATGTATTAAATAAATAAATAAATAAATACAAATGTAAATGATCAAAATAGCAAAAACAAAAGGTTAAGGGACAAAAATATCAAAAATAGAAATTTAAGGGTCTAAACTGGTATTAACAGAAACTAAAATGACTAAAAAGTAATTAAAAAATAATTCATAGCCCAAATCGCAAACATCAGATAATTCTGGCACCATAAATGAAAATAGCCCATAAATAATATTTACATATTAAAATAAAATAAATAAGAAATATGGAGGACTAAATAACAATTAAACCATGTGCAAAGCAGTGATTAAAATGTAAACATGATAAAATACAGGATTAGATTTAAAAATCATTAAACATAGCATAATAATTAAATTAGTGACTGAAATAAAAACATGAAAAAACATAGACTCAAATTAAAATATCTAAAGGTTGCATTTATAGCTAAATAGTGAGATTACAAAACTATGGGGACTAAATCTGATATTCCCTTTTTTTGAAAACACGGAGGGATTAGGGGGTCAAAACGATGTTGTTTCTTACGCAGTATAAATTCCCCAACCCTAGGCATTTTTCCATCTTCCCCTCATTTGTCTCGCATATTAAATAGAGAAGAGAGAGAGAAACATCATATTCTCTCAACCCTCTCATCCTCGGGGGAAAAGACTATCGCTCACCGACGTCGATCTACGGCAACGCATGGTGGTTCACGGTGGTCAGAGTGAGCAAAACACTCCCAGCCTGCTCCTCTTTTCACGCTCTACCCTAATCCAAGGTTAGTTTAGGCTAAAAACCCTCCTAGATTCGTAGATCTAGCACTTTTACCTTTCGACGATTCGAAGACCGATGACTCTTCGGCTTCTCAACGTTTCTCCGACTAAGGTATGAAGCGATTTGTCTCTTCCCTCTCTCATTTTTTTCTTTTTCTTTGTTTTTATTTCGAATATGTTGCTCGTGGTTTTCGTTCCCCCTTTTCGATTTACAAGTGCACGTATATATAGTCTAAAAATCCTATTTTTTGTTTCGATTTTAGAGGTTCTCTGGGACTAAAACTCTTTTTTGCTTGGTGTTTTTGTGTTCCATGAATCCACGACGTCGGGGAACTCGGAGAATGGGTGGTTGATCGAGGAAAACGGTCGGTTGGTGCGTGAGGAATGAGGTCTCTTCCATGCGGCGCGGCCCTGAAGAGGGAAATGGTGTGAGTTAGGGTTTGCAAAACCTAAATGTTGTGGTTTAGGTCAGGCTCCAGTGGATCCGGGTCACGAGTCTTGGGCTGTTTGTCGGGTTTTGATGTGTAATGGGCTTGTTGGGCTTTGTTCTGTAAATTATTATTGGACATGTAACCGAATAATAAAACAAGTTAATATGTATTTGTAGTAGGATGGGTTATATAGTTAAAGTATATAACATAATATGTATATATAATACATATACACTATATACCCTAACACATTAAATATATAACATAAAGAGTAAATAAATGTCATAAAGTCGGATGAAAATGAGTGTCGACAGAGATAAATCTCACTAGAGTATAAGAACTCTCCGAAGAAGTTGGTGAGAGGAACTTGGGACATTAAAATTGTCCGTCTGAATCATAAACAAGTTTTAAATCCTTATAAAGTCCAATATAAAGAATAGAAGATAGCCCAAATTTATTTTTTAATTTTAGATTTTTAGTCTATCGATTTTTACAAACTAAGTTGTTTAAAAAACCAATGTTTCTAATAACCAAGATTAATTCTAGATACGAATCTCTTAATCCAAAAATTTGTAACTAAGTACATTGAACCGTACGTTCTAACAACTTTCGTGGCAAAGTACTAAATCTTCGAAGAAACCAAAACAAAGATACGATAATCCGATCTTAGGGCACAAAAACATGGATTAGCCCAAAACTTAATCAAACTACTGTAAGCAAAGGAACATAAAAAGTCAAAGAAGGCTGTCCAAATAAAAAACAATAATAATAACAAAAAAAATCTCGGTTGTCTTCCATAAGCAAGGCAGAAGCAATGTCTATCACGGGATTTTCACGTGCGGACCGGTCCTCTTTGTACATGACATGTTTGTAATATTTTATTACCAAAAGAGTTTATATTGGATAGTACCCGCGAACAAACAACCGGAAAACTATTACAATATAATAAATATTTTTTTATTAGTTTAAGATGATTATAATGTATTATTTATTTAAAAAATTAATTATTTAATAATAAATGTTTAAACATTCTTATAAATATTATATTCTTAAAATTTTTAAAATAATAATTATTATTTTAATCACTAAAATCAATGGGTTGGTATCACCCGGGACAACTCTCCATTGGTGACCATAGGGGTGTTTTTTTTTGGCGGATATTCTTGATAATTGGGTATAAATTGACCCTACCAAACCTAGATTTTAAAATGTCGTAATCAAGTATTATGTGTCATGGTCCGAATGTAGACATAAGAGTAGACCCGGTTCACACAAAAAAAAAAAGCTGTACAGTAATGGAATTGAAGTCTTAATACGTGACACTTGCCCCTATATATATATATTTTAACGTGTGTGTTTTTTAAATAATTATTTTCTTTAATTATTTAATTTAGCTGTATTTTTCATGGACCAAATGTTATGGAGAGGGTTAAAGTATCTTGCACAGAACAATCTGAACTTTCCCTGTGACATCAATTATTTTCTCTTCATGTCTTTTCCTTTTTAACAATCATCAATGATTTAGAAACTCTTTTGAAAATATCATGTTTCTCGAAACAAAACACATACGTTTCAGAAATTTCTTAAAATCATAATTAAAATGAATTTAAATTAATCAAACTTAAAATTATATCTTTTATCAAATATATCATTAACTTATCGATCACTCGATATTTTCTTAATAGTTGATATATTGCTTTGAGAATGATATATCAATGGAATATAAAGGAATATAGAAATAGATAAACTAGCTGTAAGCAACATTTCAAAGGGACCAAGAGTTCCTGGAATTTAGGCATATGTTTGGTCAATTCTTAGCATTTTCAGAAGTGAGTTGAAGCTAAAACGTCGAAGGATAATAGATTAATCCCCTTCAGTATGGAATGAGCGAAACCATTGAAGCAGCTTTACTGAAATGGGTGTGGAGCACGAGACAAAACATGTGGGATTAGCAAGCTGTGTTTTTAGCTTATTTACATTCATATATATATATATGTGTGTGTATATTTAACTTGTCACTTAGATTCCTTTGCAGTTCCCAACTTTAATATGGATTGTAAAATGGATAAAAAATGATAAATAAATGCTTCAAACTTTAAGATTTTTCATCAATGGCCGACCAATTGTCTTGGGTTAGTAATTCCCACACTATATATATATATATATATATTCTTACATATGTTAACGAATCATATTCATAGGTAGACAAGGAAATGGATTGTTTTTCATTTTTATTATTTTTGTTTTTCTTGGGAAGCAGAGGTGCAAGAATCTGGACCACATCCTTCCTCTATAAAACCCCTACCACTTGCTCTCATTTCAAACAATTCTACAACAACAACAACAACATTTTAAGCCCTTTTCTGTTTCCAAAAGATCAACAGAGAGAGATTGAACAAAGGAGAAACTATCAACAACATGAAGATAAGCTTAAGCAGTGGTACTAGTAGCAGTGCATCAGCAGCAGCCATGGGAGAGTCCAAGAAGAAGGTTTCATGTAGAAATCTTGGAGGGTATCTCAGAGAACAAAAAGGAAGGCTATACATTATTAGAAGATGTGTTTTCATGCTACTTTGCTGGCATGACTAAACATGTATTTGCTGCAAACTTAGAACTTTTGCAGCTAATTTAGGCTTTCTTCTTCTTCAATTGTAAATAGCAAAAGAGGTGATCATCTAGGTTAGGGCTTTAGAGAGCTTTTCCCTACCTTTTTAGCTGCTTTTCAAACTAAAAAAATCCTCATGGTGAATCAGATAAACCCTATAATATCATCCTTATTTACATTATATATATATAATTTCCATGTAGTTCTCTTGTTTTGCAGAAGTTTAATCACTTACACTTAATACCAGTATCAGTTTGATCATTGAGAGTGAAGCTTATAGTCACTAAAACCCGTATCAGTTTGGAGATGATTGGTGAGTACTTTATGTGTCGTTTTGTTTCGGACTATATTCTTTTCGGGTTTAATGAAAATACATATACCAATACCATGGACAAGATATTTTGACAGAATGAGGAAGACCAACACTAAATAAATAAAATTTCTCTTCATTTCAATAATGTTTCGCAAAGAAGAACACCAAAAGTATATTTTTATATTTCAAAAAGTTACGTTTGTTTACGTTAACATTATTGAACTGCACGCATACAAGGGTATTGTGTTTCGATGGTAAAAACCTTCATGGTTTTATCTTATTGGAGAAAAAAGTTTTCATAAGCGAAAAGGTGGCATTTAAGGTACAAGGCTTTATTATACTTAATATTATGACTGCAAGATTTAAGGTACATAATTATAAAAAAAAGGCTTTGTTAGTGAATACAAAACGATGGGAATTAAGAGTTGCATTTGGAGTATATGATTCCATAACTTCTATGACATTCGTAATCCCAATATTAAATTACGTAGGTATGTGATGTCGTAGAATAAACATAAATTCATAATATACTTTTTTCCGACACATTCATCACTAAAATTATATTAAAAAGTGATAAATTGAAACCAAAATAGCGAAAATTGATATTCTTATAATAAAAACTCTTAAAACGTTGAACAAATTAATAAAAACTTAAGCTAGAGCTTAAAAGTGTTGCACATATATATATACTGTGTGGTTGTTGAAAATGTTTGATTTTTCAAAGATTCAAGTAAGAGAATTTATTTTTTCTTATTTTATTTTTATTTGAAAAACAATATAAAAGTAAAGAGATATTTATATTCACAAAGTAAATGCCAGAAGGTGACGTTTATTGAATGTAAACACAATTCTTAACTTGAATGATTATAGAAAGTATGTCAACTTGTTTTTTCCATCTTGGTTGGCTTTCCCAATTTCATTTTGGTACAATGTCCCAACTATCTCATAACTAAAATTAATAGCCAAATATCCTCTCACATATGATAATAATATTTACAGACAAGAAAAATAATTATTACCAATAAGGTTGTGACATTGAGATAGAGGCACATGACTCAGAGACACCACTATTACCCACTTTACTGCTGTGGCTTCAAGACAGCTTTCAAGTTAAGTATAATTTATACCCTCTTCGTCTTAACCATTAGTTTACTGGCACTTTGTCAAAGCACCTATGGAGAAGAGCTTAGGATCCTTAAGCTTAAGACCCAACTCATGGGGCAAAGAACAAGTACCTACGGAAAAGGGCTTAGGATCCTTAATCATGGAGATACTCAAATACCACAATGAAAAGTCAAGCACTATCGATAAAGAGGAGCGGATGCGTAAATTCCCTTGACAATATTTTAGTCATAATGTCAAAATTAGTCCCTAACATTTATTAAAATTATGGTAATTTTGATAAGATCCATTAATTGATTGAGTGATTAAGGATGCTTATATACTCTCATTTTGTGTGAGTTCGAATCCCGACATTTGCCTTGAAAAATGTAATATCTCTCTACTTAATCAAAATAGTCATTCTGACTCATATTCAGATTTTAGAGTATTTTGACCCTAGTTTTTATTTTAAGATAAAAATGCCCATAACATTTAACTGAATAGTTACTTTGGTTTTTTCCCCCTAGAGTATGTTGATCTCCAACATTTCATTTTAAAGTAAAAAGATACATATTTTAGAGCGTAAAACATTTGTGAACTAGTGGTTTCCACCCACAAAGAGATTTTTGTCTCAAAATTAAATGTTGGGAATTAAAATGCTCCAAAAAAGAATGAGTCAAATTGACTATTTAGTCAAACGTTAGACATTTTTTGACATTATACCATAATTTTATACTATCTTTTAGGGAAGTTGTTAAGTTTAGTTTAGTGAATAAAAGAGAAAAAAAGTAATAACAATATAAATATATATATTTTAAATCCTTATTGGCTTTTTATCAATTCCTATCTAAGAGGAAAAGGGAAATTTTGCTTTTGGGTGACAGAACTCACAAGCTAGAAGAGAGGAGATGTGTCAACTGAACTTTTAATCATATGTTCTAAAAATTATTGGTAAATTCTTTTATTTAATTGATGGATTCGCCACTGTTAGTAAATCAGATATTAGAAAGCAATCAAAGCATTATGAAATTTTTAATTTTAATCCATTTTAGTCACTATTTTGATACTTGAATCAAAGATATCCAATTCAAGCCCATAGGTCAAAACTTGTAAACATGGTAGGAATGTGTCGATTCTGTGATTGGTGGAGAATTTAATAAAATAAGCTTTGATTCACGTGATAATGTTATATGTGTAAGCTTGGACGAGGATTTTGTAACCATTTAGGTTGGACCTTTCTTAGCCTGATCACTCCAGCAAAATGAACCCCATTTTTTACTATTCAACTCCATTGAATAACACTTATTAAATGATTTTAATGGTTAAAAAATTTATTATTATTTTTTGAGATTTTGTTCAAATGTTGCATATATAAAATAAAAACAATTATTATAAAATAAATAACAAATTAAATAAATATTATCTTATATTCACCTTATATTTATTAAAGAAATTCCATCATGAATTATTTAATTGGTTATAGCAATTCGACGATTTTACCGAAAAATCACCCTGACAGGAAATAATTACCGCTTCGCTATATTTTACCGATTTAGCATCCTTTCTGACAAGGCGCGAATCGTCATCCGCGCCTTTGAGGAGTTTCGTCCGAGCTGACACCACATCATGAAAGGCGCGGATGATCATCAGCGCCTTATAGTTAGCGTCACGTAAGGACAGGCGCGGATCACCATCCACACCTTAGCATTTTAAAAATTTAAAAAAAAACTATAGGGACTGATATCGTAATTTAATACATATTAGTTCCACGAGTTGAAGAGCTTAATGGGGTTAGCTTATATATACATATTTATGTTATGTTTCTTGATAGTGTGAGATAAAAGCTAAAAAATGTATTTTTTATGGACATATTTATATGTATTTACATTATCTTTAGTTAGAAATATTAAGAATATAAAGCAAAATTTACGTAAAAAAAAAGGATAGTTCATACATTAGGTTGCTTTGTATGATTATAACACACTGTAAGAACTTTTTTAAAAACTTCAAAATTCCATGCACACAAGCCTGATAAAAGATAATCCACCCCCACGAGCTAGAGGGCAGGCAGACAAGGCAAAATGCATATTTAAAACTTAAAACAGTGGCAAGTAATATGATTCTCAGCCAAATGATCTACCATGCGTGAACTATAAGTAATGTTCAATCTTAACGATAACTACCAGCTATGCATCTGTCTATCCAACGAAGGGTACGATACATGGCCTCCTCAATTCGTGGACCAGTAGTAGTAGTTTTCACCACATCATCAAGGGCCATTATGATATCTGCTCCAATTCTATTCTGTATAATTGTTAGCTAGGTGAAGACAAAGTTAAAATGGAATATTCAAAACATATGAAGACAACAACCCCAAGAAACTTTTAGAATTTTATGATGTCACGTTGTTACTGCTAAGGGTTAAAAGAGTAAGGGTTCAGGGAAAAAAAATGAAGGCACATAACATAAGTTCTCATTGCACCTGGTATCTAAATTTTGCTAGACATTTATACTGCCAATAAATACCTAAGTAAAAAATCATGTCTTGAGAGTAAAATCTGAGTAAAGTACACTATCAAGCATCTGACAAACAAGTGCATCCCTTGTTTACACAAAATCAAACTTCACGGAATTTCAATTCATGTCTTAAAAGACAATTATTTAGTTGAAAGGCAATCAAGAATAAAGAAAATACCACCTCCCATCCCCTTAATATGACAGTGTTACAAAATTTAGGGGGAAGAGAGAAGTTAAATTTTTGGTTTTTTACCACAACATATAATGTAACAAGAATAACCATAAAGCACATACTTGGATTTGATTAGACTCCTCTGGTGTAAGGAGCATTGACTTTCCATCCACTGGAGACTGAGTTAAGAAACATGAAGTCTTTCAAGTAAAACATCACAAAAAACAGAATGCTGCTTGAAGCTAACACTTAAGTAGATTATTATACAAAAAATTCAGAAAAACACTGAATAAAAATAAATATAATAATAATAAAACTAATTACCTGAAATGTTACACCCTTTTCAGTGATGTCAGCAAAATTCAGCAATGAAACCTAAAATGTATCACTAAAACATACATATATCACTAAAACTGAAGTTTACTGTGGACAAAGGCCCTTAAGAGTATTGAAATTTTTCTAAAAATATTATATATGCGTTGTACATGTTAAATTATAAATAGATCATCGATTAATAATAATAATATGAATGTGTGAAAGATATGTCCATCAATACTTAATAAATAAATAATAATAATAATATATGAACTATCCTTTTTTTACGTAAATTTTGTTTTATATTTTTAATATTTATAACTAAAGATAATGTAAATACATATAAAAATGTCCATCAATAAATACACGCTTTAGCTTTTATCTCACATCATCAATAAACATAAATTAAACACCTCAATATACCTATATAAGTTAATCTCATTAAGTTTTTTAACTAATGGAACTAATGTGTATTAAATTACGATGTTACTCTCTATAATTTTATTTTTTTTAATTTTTAAAATGCTAAGGCGCGGATGCTGATTCGCGCCTGCCTTTATGTGGTGCCAGCTCAGATAAGGCGCGGATGGCCATCCACACCTTTCATGACATATCGATAGCTCAGACGAAATTCCGCAAAAGTACAGATCGTCATTCGCGCCTTGTTAGAAAAGATGTTAGATCAATAAAATTTGACTAAATAGTACCTGATAGGTAATTATTTACAGAGTAATTTTTTTTGGTAAAATCGCCTAACCTTTCCTTTCCCCATTTTGAAATTTTGGTTTTTCGGCTGCCATAAATAAAAGAAGAAAAGAGAGCCGCAAAATCATAGTTGCCTTTGCCAACCCGCTCTGGCCAGTGGCCATCATTCCGTGTGCAATTAAATATACTATTATTTCAACAAGGATACTGTATAGAGATATCATTCAACTTTTACTTTTCTTAACCCATTTTCTATTGGTTTTAGATTAACGATTGTAACATTTTAAATTTTATTTATAATTATATTACTAATATATAAAGTCATAAACGATGCGTTACCATGAACTGTTGATTCGTTAATACGATTATGTGTATAATTATATTAATGTTTAAAATGACACCATTTTTATGATTATGTGAACCCTTTAGTTTGTTTATCAATTTATCATTCTACTTTCAAAAAATTTAAGTTTAGACACTAAAATTTTAGGTCGTCATAAATAGTCAATCCATGTCCTTCATCAATTATTATTAATGATAATATCAACATTGAAATGTTTATATTTTACTTATTTAGTTGATTTTTTACGAAATTCACTCAAAATCGATAAAAATTAAACTAAAGATTCAATACGCTAATACTTTGATCTCTTATGATGATCATCCGACGAAACTAATTTTATGATATATTTTTATCTTCTCAAAAGATTACTTCTCGTCGTTTAAAATTTTAAATAGACGTCCTCAAAATCTTCAATTACGAGAAAGCCACCGCACCCAAAAAAATAAATTATTTTTGTTTATTTCTGTGAATTTTAAAAATATTAAAATTTTAAACCGTTAAAGTAATAGATGATGTAAGACAAGTTCATTAGTGTTAAAAATGGTAGCAAATACTATATAAAAATGATGATTTTCTACGGCGTCTAAAAGAGATGAAAAAAATTATAACTTTGATGAAGAAGATAATGAAGTAGAATAATAAAAAAAACAACTTTCATGTTGTCATCATATTATCATCAATCTCTCATGTCATTTGATTATTAATGAGTTAATGTCTCAATGATAAGATCAAAATCAAAATTAAAATTTAATAATATAATCGTATCAATTTAAAATTTAATTATAAAATTGTTATAAAATCTAAAATTAAATAATAGATAATGCAGTATACTCTATCACTAAAATTTCATTTAATTTAATGTTTTTAATAAATTTAAGAAGAAAGTTATTTGCTTATAAATATTAGTAATAAATATATAAACAAATAAAATTTTTCGACATTCAAATTTACATAGGGATGGACATGGGTCGGATTTTTGGTTCATCCTGTCCGACCCAAGAACAATGACTCTTCCACCCGAAATCTGACCCGCATAATATATACTATCCACTCGACTTGAACTCGACTCGACTTTTTGAAATAAAATTCGAACCCAACTCGACCCGAAATAATAATAAAATATTATTTTTATTCAATAAAAACATTGATTTAATTGAAAAAAATAATATATAGAGGGTATTATTATAATTTTTCCTAAATATATTAGGTAAAATTTTATTTTTTTCCCTGGTTGTGTCGGGTCGGGTATTTTTCACCCTAAACCTTTTTTTAAAAAAACCCGACCCTATCAGGTCGGATCGAAACTCGTCGAGTTCGGGTCCCATTCCTATCCCTAGATTTACATCTATTAATTTTTATTTTGAATATAAAATTTCTATAGGTTTGTAATATAAATTCATTTATATTAATATTAATGATAAAGGTTAAAATGGAAACGTGGTAATTTTTTAATCAAAATTCCATTTTAATTTGTTATCAACATTACTAGGGTAAAGTACATAATAGTAATCCGATTATAGGATATTACTTTGTTGAGTTCTTCGACTATTAAAAGTCATAAAATAGTCCCCTATCTATAGGGAATTATTTTGTTGAGCCCCTTAATTATTAAAAGTTACAAAATGATCACTCAACTATTCATTATGTTCCAAACTTGTCATTTTTGTTAAAAAATTAACGGTCGTATGAGTTGAACGTTAACATGTTGACTGAGATATGATAGTCGTTTGAGATTATGAGATCAAATTTTATTATATCTCAGTCAATAGGTTAACGTCCAACTTAGAGTGCTGTTAATTTTTTAACGAAAAAGAACGCGTTTGAAACATAATAAATAGTCATATGACCATTTTGTAACTTTTAATAGTCGAGTGACTCAAAAACAACTCCTTATAGTTAGAGGATCATGTTATAATTTTCAATAGTCCGAAGACTCAATAAAACAATATCTTACAATCAAGACACCATTTGTATACTTTACTTTTAGGGTGCGTTTGGTTCACGGAATGTAAGATTACCAGTGTGAATAGAATTACCGGATGTAACAAGATTACTGAGAATATTGTATTTTGTGTTTGGTTCGCTTAGTAGGAATGTAAGATTACAGTGTTTGGTTAAATGAATAAAAGATTATTGGAATGTATATTTTACCAAATTGTCCTTATTATATATTTATTTTTTAACAACTTGAATTCTACTATAATATTATTATAATTAATTTATAGATTTTCTTTAAAAATTTTAAATTCATATTTTTTTTACAAAATTGAAAAGATAAATAAATTTAATGAAAGGGTAAAATTTTATTTGTAACCCCTGAACTTCATATAAAATTCTAATTATAGATTTTTTTTTATAAATTTAAAATAGTTTAAGGATAAATTTGTAATTTAACATTCGTAGAATTTTTTTATTCAACGAAAAAATAAAGATATTTTTTTAAAAAAATTTAAAAGTATTTTACTCCAAAACGCCGTAATTTAGCAATACCTAAGAGAATGTTGTAATCACATTCTTGATAATATATTTTCAAAATACCACTGTTAAGAATAAAAGATTCAGAAATTAAGAATATTTACTAACCAAACATATGACATTTCATTCCTCCGAGATTACCTAAACTAAACACCTCTAATTCTTATTAAGGAGTCTATAATGACGGCTACGTGGGGGACAAAAGAGATACTTATCTTCAAGCCTACGGCTACGAAACTTAACAGCTAGGATACACCGTGGCATTTCCATACCAAGTATTTTTTTATAATAGTATTCCATTATTCCCAAAAGGAAATTTTGATATCCCCTAAACACCCTTCTTCACGGACTTATTTTACACCCTGCCTACCTATAAACCGTCACTTACCCACCAGAGGCAATTCCGTCATCGCGAAAGGACACCCTCAGATACGAACGTTGAGAACATCGACTATTTCCCAAAATACCCTAACAAGAAGAATAATATAAGGGTAAAAAGGGATTTTGACATGGTACAAAGGTAAGCGGGCACATTAATTAAAATGAAGTGAAATAACGTGAGTCATCCGGGCAAAGTGAAAAGAGGTTGGCTCTGGAAGAAGATAAAAGAAAAGTACTCAGTTTAGAGACGTTTCTCGGATTTCAAACTTCACTCTTCGCCGGAATTTGGGATTCCATTTCAAGTCCGGTACTTAGGTTTTCCCTGTTTTCGGACTTTTACGATTCTCGAGCGTAGAGAAACAGACGATAAGCACATGAAAAGATTAGGGCTTTTCATAAATTAGGGAATTGCTGGTATTAGGGGGTTTTTTTGGGGGGCGGTTTCTTTTCTGTTCTTTTGCATGAATTCTAAGTTTATCCGAGGGACGAATTTTGGAATTCGCTAAATGTTAACACCGCAGAAGAAGGCTTGGTCTGGTTGGTCGTTGACGCCAGGGAAGAAAGTGGACGGGTCAGGTTCGGATCCGAACTCCTACGGGGTTGCTGTGGGGAAAGGGAAAGCAACGGCTTTTGCTGAGCCCGTGACCCCTGATGGGAACGACCTCATGTTAGAGGACGATGTAGGGGTTGCCGAGAAAGTACAAAGACTCGAAAATGAGGTTATTTTTTTTGCTGAAAAATGCATTTTATAATTTGTTATTTTAGGTACTCTAATTTTTTGTATGTTACAGTTTTTTCTCTTCACATGCTTAGTTGAGAAATTGAGATGATTAATAATTAGCCACTGAATAACTTGTTTAAAGTCGAATTGGTTTAGTTAGGTTATTTGGATTAGACAAACACTTCACTTTGGATTTCTTACTTAATCTTCATTTTGAGGTGTTAGCTGAGTAATTAAACTTTATATTTACTGCATGAAGAAGTTAATTTGTTACGTCAGTTTGTCTTTCTAGGATGGCAACAACATTTTGTTACTATTTCGAATTTTGTGCGAGATTTGCTATTGTGGGTGCACCATTCTCGTAATTAGTTTTTGGTGTTTGGTTTAGGGAACCACCGTACGTAATCATGATTTAGTTATTT